GATACAAAAGAAAACAATATTATGAGTAGTGATTGTAAGCAGGCATTAGCCGCGGCATTTTGAGTTTACTGGCAAACTATCAGTTTCCCAGACCGTCGATAAGAATAACGATCTACTGTCATGATGGCACTGCCTGCTTAAACGGTGTTCAGAGTTGCTGTGAGGAAGAGGACGATAAAACGTCACGCAAATCTAGCGAAGTGACAGAAAATTTGAGGCTGACAGATCATCTGATTCTATTTGCTGCCAGCAATGGAATCAAAAGTCCTATTAATTTCAAATCATCCACCGCATGGTATTAGAAATGCCTGCAGAAATAATTTACTATATAGGATACTGATAATTAGCCTTTAGTTAATAACTATCGTGTTTGCACTGCCATTTGAGGCTAACAAAGCTTAAAGAGCAGAGGAACCAATATTTATGAAGTATGACCGCTGGAAGTTTGTCATTGAGATTTTTTTAGTAAAGGCGGTTAAACTGCCCAGTGGATGCAAATCCCTCGTACATCGAAATCGCAATAAAGTAACTCATGACCACAAAGGAAAAATTTTAGAACAACGTAACTTGCCAGCGGCTGGGAACACAAAAAGAGTCGAATATTTTTAGTAACGCACCGATACTTCAGAAAATACTTACGAGTTGGCTGAAATACCGCAAATCTGTTTTGCAGAAAAACTTGTCCAACTACCATTTATCAATAATATTATATAATGCTTGTAGTAATAATCGTTTTAAAGTTATTTGTGGTTAGGGAAAGTTTATGCCTTTAAATGACCATTTCATATGAAACGCTCTGCTCAGATAACATAAAGCAACGCCGTGAGCAAAGGTTATTAATCCTTACGGAAAACTTCCCTTCGAAACTGCAACTATCACTAGAGAGAAAGGAAAGGAAAGGTTGTCGCCAATGGAATATCCGTCTTCCTTCAGGTCAATGAATGGGCCATTTTGCGCCCTTCTTTCCTTGAACTTGATGGTGCGCTGCTGATCTCCGTTTCTAGGCCATAAGGCAAGAGTGCCTTATCATTTTTAACGGCAGCATCTACGGCCATGTAGCCAGCGCAGCGGTAGGTCAACTTTTTCCTTCCCACAAAAGAATACTGAGTTGTTCTGAATTCGATGCGCTCCGACTGAGTAACCATGGTCTGAATAAATCAACTTTAAATTCATAGCTCAAGCAAATTCGTGAATAATACAAAGATAGCCCTCGAGCTGAACTGAACCGACAACTACAGAGTTCAAATCCGACCTCTTAGACAGGAAAGAATATAGGACACTGGGCGTCATTCAGCATAAAACATAAGGCACTGTCGTTCTCAGGTGAATCGATGATCAGATCGGGGCAAACTTTCAGGCCACTTCTGCCCACTACTTGCAACCCTAGTGACGTCATATAGTTCGTTTCTATCTGTTCCCAGATGTCATATGTTCGGCATCCCCTTGATCGCGCTTTTCTGTCTTGCGTTACACATACAGTTGCGAAAGGCTTTTCCCTAAGGAAGTAGTTTTACGTTATTAAAGAAGAAAGTTCCAATTTGAGCTGATTCAAACCCAGTAACTGTGTTACTTTCGAGCCTCTTTCAAAAAATGAGAAAAATTGTCCGGCGAAAATTTCAGTAACCATCAATTCTGGACTCTGACAGTCTCCAGTGGTGGCGTTGCATAGCGCCTGAAAAGTTAGGTTCAAATCTGTTCAAGGGACAACAGTTGTCTTAATCACAAACTCCCTTGAGCAAGGGATTAACCCTGCGTTGCTTAGAAAAACGGGCGGTAAGTCGTTGACGTGCGAATAATAGATACAAAATAGTATTCCGCTCTGGCAATGCCAGAATAAACGAAGTAAACGGAAATGATGTCTGATGCGAGCTGCCGTTGTGGCTGTACTTCACACTGGCGAACAGCTGAATATTTAGTGTATGATCATTGATAAACAGCACAAGGAGAAGCATCGATTTCGGTTTCAATTTCATATCTATATCTTGCCTATGACTGGTTCATAAGTTCAGACCTAGGAACCAGAAAACGAAAAATGTCATCCCCCAGGAGGCAACTATTTAACATGGATGAATAGTACAGAAGCAGGGTTTAATTCAAATATAAAATATTCCTTTCGCATCCCTGTATTGGCTTACATTAAAAAATGACATTGTAGCGCTCATACACACAACAGTGACATTCCAAAACTTCAAAGATTAACGGAAAAAATCAAAACAGATAGCAAGTCACAGCTTCTGAGTAACACAGCACCATGACAATGAAGTATTTTAGTCACACTAGAGATATTTTACAAACTGTAGCAATGATCATTAAACAAGGAGTAAATAATGTATCAGAAACTGCAATTTTATGATTAACGGCAGAACTAGAAAGTTACTCTGTGAGAGTTAAATAATTTAAATGTCAGGATTATCTCTCATCTATGATTTAAACACTCAAAGCGAATCTTCAGCACTTTCATCTTCCATGGCCGCTTCTCCCTACATGTCGCGAAAGCAGACACTGCATCCGACGTTCCCGAACCTGTGCGAAGGACCGAGCTTCCGAAAAATAACTGGAGTATAAAACAGACTCCTTCCATATAACCAGGTTAATCTTAGCCGTCCCCTGGGCCTTCTGCAGGTCGCATTTGCAAGAAACAATCACTTAGCCTTCCTTTTCGAAGGCATTCCCACACCTACCCAAACTACCGCAGGCGTGACTTCTCAATCTGGAGAAGCAAAGGCTGTACACCAAGGCTCTTCCGGATATCAGTATTCCGGACCATGTCGAGACGCGTAAGGAAAGCGACTCGTCCGAGAAAGCTTATTTCAGCAGCTTGCACCTAGGTTCGAAGCTTTTCAGTAATGGTTCATGTCATAACCGTAGGCAAACATATGGATAAAGATCGACTTCAACAATGAGAGCTTATTTTTGAAAATGACCTCTCACTTAGTCACAATGCATCGAGCCAGTTCACCCAGAAAGATACTGGCTACTCAATTCGCCGCTCGATCCATTGGTCAAAGTTTTCATCAGACGTAAATACAGTTCCGATGTACTTCAACTTCTCCACCTGCTCTACTGCATGTCCGTTAATCTGAAGAGAGCAACGGGCAGGAGAATGAGAAAGCACTAGGCTTTTCGTTTTAGATGCGTTCACACACATGTCGGTCACATCGCACTCGGATGCGAACCTTCTAGAGAGCACTGTGGATCACTTTCAGAAGATCCCAATAAAACAAGGTCGTCGGCAAACAGCAACCTTCTCGTCTTCACATTTTCGATACCAGTACGCTCATCGCCTCGGCTGCTCCTGACAATTATATCCATGTACAATACAAACAGGAGAGAGGACAGGTGGCAGCCTTGGGGGATACCACTGCCAACATTGAAGGTTTCGAATCAACGCTATTTCCTCTGACGCAGCACCTGCTATCGGAATACAGTGATTGGATGGCCCTTAGCAGCTGGCCATCTATCCCGTATGCTCGAAGGCATTACCTCACACTAGTGCGTAAGATTCAGTCATAGGCCTTTTCCAGGTCAACAAAACACATGTACAACGGAAGGTGGCGCATTCCCAGGATTTCTCAACAATCTGGCGCAAGGCAAACATATGGTCAGAGGTACTTCGACCAAGCCGGAAACCACACTGTACTTCTTGCATCTTGAGGTCAGATACTTCGCGGCAGCTCCTTTCTAGCACCTTAGCGTGGACTTTACCTGGGAGCCTCAATCACGTAATGCCCCTATAACTGGAGCATTCCTTGTGGTCTCCCATCTTGAATACCGGTACAATAACTTACGTTCTTCAGTCCGTTGGTGTCTTCACCGTAGTCATTGCATTTTCACAGGCACGTGCATGCCAGCATATGCCTTGTTAGCCTAATGCCTTGAGCATTTCAGCGCGGATTTCATCAACTGCAGTAGCCTTCCCATTTTCAACCTTTTCACAGCTTGTGGAATTTCATCTACAGAGACAGTAATATCTGTCCTCTGTTACTCTACAGGCGAGTCCTATTGCGGTTGCGCCGGGCTCTTCATGGAGTTCTTCAAAGTACTCTCTCCTTCGCCGAAGAATGTCACCTTCCTTAGTAAGACAGTGCCCAGACCTTTCCTTCAAAGCTCTGAGACTGCATCAGAGCCGGCGGATGGTCTGCCAGAATACTTTGTTTGGCGTGTGTAAATTCGTCTCCAACACCTCAACGAACTTCTCCTCGGAATCAGCCATGGCTTTTGCCACTGCTATGGGTGCCGCCTTGGGCGCCTCGACATATTGCACGCGAGTAGAAGGATATTAGTCTCAAAGCCCTTTCTTGAACGCTAACTTCTACACTTTAACTGCCAGTTGTGCCTCTCGTGTCCACCACGAAGATCCTTTCAGAGCTCCAGGTGACAGGCCAATCTGCTTCAATCTGCAGCATTCGGCGGGAGCCTCGTGTATGCGGCTCTTACAGAGCTGCCGCTCCGTTTCAATACCAGTCGTCATCACCGGAATTTGTTCAAACCGTCGTGGGATGTTCTTTGCAAATTTCGCTCTCGTGTTTACCAAAGATAAGATTTCCCATTTCTGTAGGCCATAAACTACCAGTTCGACATTTTTGGACTCTCGTCAACGAAACGCCCAGGCTCTGGACTCATGAACCTCAACGGATGGAAGCTATTCTACTCAGGCGCCGATATAATAACTCGTGCTCATGCCGATGTTGATGCTCTGGTAGAACCGAACCTCGCATGTAAAATCACTGATTGCAAAGCCTATCAGAGGAAGGTAGATAGCCTTCCGACTGAAGATCCAGCCAATCGCTAAAGCGTTGACCTTGGTACAGGTCTATGCGCCCAATTTGCGGGGAGATTATGAGACCTTTCTTGAGGAAGTGCAGTGTGCTCTATCCGAAGCGCCGAATACAGAGTTCCTCACATTGATGGGCGATTTTAATGCGCACGTCGGAGTAGAGGCTGAAAAGTGGAACGGCGTGAATAGAAAAAACGGTACTAGCGACATCAACAATAACGGCATGAAGTTGTTGCGGTTTTCTGCAAACAACCGACTGTCCATTATGAACACCTTCTACGAACATCGAAAAGTGCATCCGTACACCTGGTTCCGGGAAGCTTGTGCACAGAAGTCGATGATCGACTTGATAATCGTATCGTCTGAGCTAGACGCTCAGTAATGGATGTTCGTGTTAAAAGAGGCGCAGAGCTATCAACTGATCATCAGCTTGTTGTTGAAATACTGCGCTGGAGGTTTGGTGGCAGAAGCAACCGCAAAATCAAATGGGAAACATTATCTTCGGTGGACACGAGAGCGAAATTTGCAAACAACATCGCACAACGATTTGAACAGATCCCGGTGATGGCAACTGATATTGAAACCGAGTGGCAGCTATTTAAGAGCGGCATACTCGAGGCTGCCGCCGAATGCTGCTGATAAAAACGGGTTGGCCTGCCGCCTGGAGGTGAGAAAAGATCTTCATGGTGGACACGAGAGGTACAACTGGCAGCTAAAGAGAAAAAAGCAGCGTTTAAGAAATGGCTTGGAAACAAGGAGCCATCTACACGCGTGCTCTATGTCGAGGCACGGAAGTTGGCACGGGAGTACTTTGACGGACTCCTTAACCACGCGCAACAGCAGGAAGACTCGCCTGTAGAGCAGAATGGTACGGATATTACTATCTCTGTAGATGAAATTGCACAGGCTGTGAAAAGTTTTAGAAATGGAAAAGGTGCAGGAATTGACGAAATCCGCCCTGAGATGCTCAAGGCAGTAGGCGAACAAGCGTGTGCTGGCTAACACGTATCTGTCAAACTGCGATGACTGCTGGTAAGACACCAGAGGACTGGAGAACGGGAGTTATTGTACCTGTATTCAAGAAGGGAGATCACAAGGAATGCACCAATTATAGGGGCATAACGTCACTGAGCCTCCCAAGTAAAGTCTACGCAAAGGTGCTAGAAAGGAGGTGCCGTGAAACAGGTGACCTCAAGATCTAAGAAGAGCACTGTGGCTTACGGCCCGGTCGAAGCACCTCTGACCATCTATTTGCCGTGCGCGAGATTGTTGAGAAATCGTGGGAGTACGCCCAGTCGGTGTACATGTGTTTTGTGGACCTAGAGAAAGCTTGTGACCGGACATCACGGAACAGTCTGTGGATATGCCTTCGTGCATACGGGATAGATGGCCAGCTGCTAAGGGCCACCCAATCACTGTATTCTGATTGCAAGTGCTGCGTCAGAGTAATTGGCGTTAAATCGAA